CGAGGTCCCGCTCAGATCCGCGCAGTGCCTCACTCCGCAGGACCCACCAGCAGCCCTCGAAAGTGGCGACAGTTTCGCAGATCGCAGCCCCCCAGGCACGGCGAGATCCCGCTCAGATCCGCGCGGTGCCTCACTCCGCAGGACCCACCAGCAGCCCTCGAGAGTAGCGACAGCTTCGCAGATCGCAGCCCCAGGCTCAAATTCGGCGAGATCCCGCTCAGATCCGCGCGGTGCCTCACTCCGCAGGACCACCAGCAGCCCTCGAAAGTGGCGACAGTTTGTTCGCAAGATTCGCACCCCGCCCCCCAGGCAACGGAGAGGTCTTGCTCCAGATCCGCGCGGTGCCTCACTCGCGCTGGACCCTACAGCAGCCCTCGAAGTGCGACAAATTCCGCAGATCGCAGCCCCCCAGGCACGGCGAGGTCTTGCTCAGATCCGCGCGGTGCCTCACTCCGCTGGACCCACCAACAGCCCTCGAAAGTGGCGACAGTTTCGCAGATCGCAGCCCCCCATGCACGGCGAGGTCTTGCTCAGATCTGCGCGGTGCCTCACTCCGCTGGACCCACCAGCAGCCCTCGAAAGTGGCGACAGTTTCGCAGATCGCGGCCCCCCCAGGCACGGCGAGGTTTTGCTCAGATCCGCGCGGCGCCTCACTCCGCTGGACCCACCAGCAGCCCTCGAACGTGGCGACAGTTTCACAGATCGCAGCCCCCCAGGCACGGCGAGGGCAATTCCAACACAAAAGCACGATTCTTGAGCACATTGCAAGCAAGTCTCCAGCGAGAACGGGAGTCCAAAGCGCCGAGAGAGCGATTCCTGAATATATTGAAGAAACCCCAGGCGAAAGCGCAATTCTTGAGTAAATTGCGAGGGGGTCAGGCGGGAGCGGGGGTCCTGGCTAGATTCAAATGAATCTCATACGCGAGCTGTTGTTGTTGGTGCTGTACTCTGGGGGGCAACAGCGCAGTTCAAGCCGAATGATTTTCCATGATAAGATAAGGTTGCGAGCCCCGGGGGAAGCACTTAAATAGAAAACGCAATGGCCCCCAGATCAACAATACTTATTCGTCAGTGGTGAGAGCCCAACAACAATCACAGCAACAACAACAACAACAACAACAGCACTCACAGCAACAACGCCAACAACGACACCACCAACAACAACCACAACAACAGCATACAACAGCAAACAACACCAACTACAACAACAGCAACAACAATGAATCGCATCGCTGAATCCCACGTCGGCCACGCACCCAGGGACAGTGTATGACCGCTCGGCACCCTCACTCTGATTAGCGTTTACCACACCACGGTGTACGGACCCCGGCCCGCTCGCGCCGACCCTCAAGAGTTCCGCTCCGGCAGACTTGGGCGTTCCTCTCCACGCCGCTCCGCTCCCCAAAGCAGCCGACCAGGAAGTTCCAAGTGAAATGCGGCCCCAGAGCTCGTCGTACTTCTGTTTGCGGGCTGCGTGCCTGGACAAGAAAGATGGTCTCTATGGGGGCGGCGCGAGGTCGCGAATATACCTGCTCACGTGACTTGTCCTCCCCTCCCCCATTCCAAGCATTCGTCATCTCGATCAGTTCGCGACGTGGGTTTGGGAGTTCTCGAACCTTTCCGAGGGATTTGGTTGTTCGTCGCATATCAGCTATTTGGGCGGCCCCAGAAGATGACAACGGCACACAGGCATCGAAGTCGGCGAAGGATTGCGAAGGCCTTGCGGCCGTTGCCGCCGACCCGGCGACGACGACGACGACGAACACGACGACCACGACGACGACGACGACGAGGACGACGACGGCGACGGCGACGGCGACGGCGATGGCGACGGCGACGGCAACGGCGGCGGCGACGACGCTGACGGTCTGGAGCCCTTCGTGGGGCCCTCTTGGGGACCTTTGGGGCCCTGTGGGGGGCCTGCTGTGCGACTTGTTGGGGGACTCCCTGGTCACTTGGAGCCGCCTCGGAGCAGATCTGGGTCCTTTGGGAGACATCTTGGAAAAACGCAGCACCCCGCAACTTCAGCTAAGAGCGAAGAGGGCGCTTCCGCGGGGGGGAGATCTGGGAGGAAGGGGGGGGTCCGTCCACAGGGGGAATTGAAGGGCGTTTCCACGCGGGGGGCCACCCCCGTGTCCCGTTTGTCCACGGGGGGGGGGCGGGGGGCGACTTCAGTTCTCTTTGTGCCCAGGGGGACCCTCCACGTTGTCCGCGTTGGGAGCCAGGGGGAGGGGAAGAGGGGGGCCCAGGCTTGCAGCGTTGATGTTTGGGGCTTTTGTGCCATTACACCATGGTGACCATGGGTCCCGAAACCGTGTTCTCAAGCAGTGGCGAAGCGTCATGGCTTGCCTATAGGCCCGCCAAAGAAAGGTCTAAAAACCTTGTGGTTTGCACGAAATGTTCGTAGAACCTTTCTGGTTGGGACTGCTTCGTTCTAACATCGGGTCTACGTTCTAAGAACATGGACTTGTTTTCATAGCACTTTGGGGTTCTAAGACCATTTCGTGGTAGGCCTCAAGGAATGACGGGACGGTCGGTCCCTGCTCGGGTTTTGGGAGACTGGAGCAGAGGAACAACCGCAGAGAGATAAGGATGAGGCGTGAGCGCTACGCACTCCTGCCATAGCCGCACGGCACGTCCGAGCCGTTCGCCGAAAAGGCGTCCTCATCCTCATCTGGCCTTGCCACGGCATGCGACGCCCTCTAGTTGCCTGACGGGCAGAGAGCAAACAAACAGTTGGGCAGCTACATGATCGTGTTCTTGTTCATTGTTTTGCCGACCGGCGCGGGCCCTCGCACCCCCGTCATGGAGAAGATCTTGGTTGTTTTTGGCGCCTTGTTTAAGCAGGTGGAGTCTCCCCCATAAGACAGTCTCATGAAGCAGAGGTGGGGAGCCAACCCCCCCTCCCTTCCGCCCTATGTCGAAGTACAGTAAGGAGGGGAAAAAGCACACAGACACAATTTATCGTCGATTCCCAAAAGTATGAGGAAATATGGGAAGTGGGGGGGAAGACAGAAACCTAGAAAATATGTGAAAATATGGGGGATCCTGTTATTTGTGTGTATTTCTTTGTGTGCCCCAGGGCCCCTTCATACAGTAAAAGAACACGTTGACTACTCCTCCCCTTCCTCTCCCTGGCGGTCTCCAAGAGGCACGCAGCACTGGTGAGGCGGGGGGGGGGCGGGCCTTCTGAGAGAGCAGGGAATTGCGTAGGATGGCCCTAAGGCTGAGGCTTCTCGGAAGGCGGGCGGGCTTCTGAGAAGCCCCGCCGTGGCCCCTCAGAAGGCCACCCGCCCCATCCCCGCCTGCGCCCCGCCGAGCTTGGCGGCCAAGAGCTGCCTCGCCCGGCCTCGCCGCGCGCGCCGCATTTGCGCACGCCCAGGCGGGCTGCCGTCGTACGTGGCTTGCCTGGAGCGCGGGTGCCTGGACAGCCCGCGGGGGGAGGGGGTCCCTGGAGGCCAAGCGGAGGGGAAGGTCCTGGGGGGAGGGGGGGGGCTTTCGTGCACTTCTGATGTGGGACGAGGGAAGAGCAGGGGCAACGGGAGGGGGGGAGACAGGCACAGGATCCGCAATCGCCCGTTGATCGCCGATAGGGGTCTGATAGCCCCCCCCCCCGCCCAGGAGCGTTCGGATTCGCCATCGAGGGCCTATCGCCGATCTGTCGGCGATGCATCGCCGATGCCAGGTCGATGTGCCCCCTCCTCATATGCCAGTCCCTCAGGAGGGAAAAAAACAGACAGACACAATTAATCGTCGATCCCCCGGAAAATATTGGAGAATATGGGAAGTGGGGGGAAGACAAACGCGCAGAAAATACGGGAAAATATAGGGAATCCGGCTATACTTGTATGTATTTATTGAATCGCTTCGCTCATTCCGCCGGCCCGTGATATGGCATCGCTGGTTTTTGTCTGTGTGTTCGTTGCCCATGTTGCGCTCTTGGGGGCGGGTGTCGTTCGGACGCGTTGCGTGGGGAGTTTTGATGGTGAAGCAGTTCCCTGGGGGTCGTCTCTCGATGGGGCGAAATAGAGTCGTCGTCAAGATGCTTCTTTGGGGGGCCTCTTGGGGTCTGTGAGAGGCCGTTCGGGGGCGCCTGGGAGACATGTTTGAAGCCTTCTGGGGCTTCTTTTGGGCCTCCTGGGAGTCTCCTGGGGCCTCTTGGCGACATCTTGGGGCCTCTTGGAGGCCTCTTGGGGCCTCTTTGGGACCTCCTGGGCGCCTTCTGGGACGGAGGGCTCCATTTTTGAGTTCTCGGTATCCCTCCTGAGTCCCTCTTGGGCCCGTCTTGGGGCCTCTTGGTCCGTCTTGGGCGGCACTTGGGCCGTCTTGAGGGCTCTCTTGGGTCGTTTCGGCGCCGTCTTGGGAGCTTCGTGGGCCGTCTTGGAGCGGTCTTGGGGGCCTCTTGGGCCGTCTTGGAGCGTTCGGAAGCCGAAAAAGCCAGAACACAAAAAACATCGAAAAAACCAAATGAAAATCAACGATTTTGGCCACTTGGGGCTCTCTTCGGAGGCCTCTTGGAAGGCTCTTGGGGCGTCTTGGAGGCCTCTTGGGCTGTCTTGGGGGCCTTTTGGGCCGTCTTGGGGTCATCTTCGGCGTCTTCGAGCGCTCTTTGGGCGTCTCGGGGGCCTCTTGGGCAGTCTTGGGGGCCTCTTGGGGCACTCTGAGCGCGCTCTGGGGAGCCTGAGAGGCCGCACCCAGAAGGAAAACCATCTCTGAGTAGACTTGGTCGGGCGGCGGTCGGGCGGCGGTCGGGCGGCGACCGGGCGGCGACCGGGCGGCGACCGGGCGTTGGTCGGGGTACTTTTCGCCGGGGGGACCCCCAGGGGCCGCCCCGCGCGCGCGAACTAGACATACTGTTAATACTGTTAACCAGTTACCGGAGATCTTAGCACGCCCTGGCCCGTTGGGCCGGCGAATTTGTGTGTCCCAGGGCCCCTTGAGTCTCCCCCCGCCCCCCGATCGTTGCCCCTTAAAAGAGAGAGAGGGGGGGGGGCCCAGAGGCTGCGGCGGCACAGGGCCGCTGCGCCCGGACCGGAGGCAGCCTGCGCACCTGCGCAGTCTGGCAGAGGCGGCCGCTCGGCCCCGGTCGCCCAGGCCTCGCGGCCGAAGGCCCCAGGGGCCACCACGTACCGGTTTGGGACGTATCCTTTTATCCCTGTGTTTGACATCACCTCACCTCGATGCCGATCTTGAGGATTCCCTCAGTTTCTGGGGGCATATCCCTGAGATTGTCCTCGCTTTTTGCTCGCCCATCTTAGGGATAGGGATACGTTCGAGGCTGGTTAACCACGGCATCCCCCCTCGGCCAGTCCAGGCCTCGGAGCAGAGCCCCTGCTCTCCGAGCCGGGCCTTCCCATGGCGACGAGGGTCGGGAGCATGCAGACGGGGGTCAATGCAAGTTCGGCGGAGGAAAAGGTACCCTGGCCGCTACCCTTGCCTCGCGTGCCCCTTTTCAGGCCTCCTTGGATGCCCTCTTCTCCACCGCTGGATTCGCCTCGAGATTCTGGTCAGAGCGCACCCTGGGAGAGGTCCGGGGAGTCGCGGCGTGGCTACCGTTCGGTTTCCCCAGCAAATTGGGATCAGCCAGAGCGGCGGATCTTGCAGGATCTTGCAAAGCCAGGGTCACATTGACCCGGGCGCGCTGGATCTTCCAGGGTCTTGCGGGATCTCGCAGAGCCCGAGTGACCCGGGCTTGCATTGACCCGGGTCAGTGCGTCCCCGAGAAGGAATCCAAGTGTCTAAGCAGCCGATTGACTTCAACGGCGGCCACATTGTCAAATAGCTGCTTTGGGAACAGGCCTGGGCGGCCAATGAAGTCCGATTATGGATTTGACAGCGGGGACCCACTGTCACATGGGCCATCGGTGGGCAGGCCGAGGCGCGGGGGTTGAGTTCCGATTGCCTCTTTGTCAGTGGGGGCCCACTGTCGAATTGGCGATCGTGGGGGCCGAGTCGCCTGAATTGAGCTCCGATCGCCGTTTGACAATGGAGGACCCCAGTCAAATGGGCAATCATGGGGGCTAGGCCGAGGCGGGGGAAGCTCCGATCGCCCAATTGATAACGGGAATCCCTTTGTCAAGTGGGTCATCGGGGCGCCCGATTGCCCATTTAATGGTGGGATCCCCATTGTCAAACGGGGAGTCTGAAGGGAAGTGTCCCCGACTGCGCGTTTTACAGTGGGGATCCGATGGTCAAACGGGCAAAGCTCGCTCAGCACTTTCCGCTACAATTTTGGCCCCCCTGTCTGAGGAGAAGAATCTCACACGCCTTGAAGACCCCAAAGGGGTCGACGGAGTCCGTGACTGTCCCCAGAGCCCGCTGCTAACCCGTAGAAGGCCTGGCACTTCCACGCGCCAAGGGCGGCCTACGCTCGGGGCAGTTTACCTTTGATACGGTGAGGGTTGAACCTAAGCGCGTGCGCGCAGTACGCGCGAGGTTCTAGAATTTAAACGAATGGCCTTCGGCCCATCCCGCCACCGTGCCTTGGTTATGGGGTATGAGGCCTGTTGGATATTCGTTGGGATCTCGTCGGGGGCCTCTCGGGAGCCTATTGGAGGAAGTTTGGGGCGGAAGGCGCTCGGGGGCCTCTCGGGGGCCTCTCGGAAGGCTCTTGGGGGCCTCTTCTGTTGGGCCTCTTGAGGCCTCTCCGGGGCCACTTGGCGGCTTCTTGGGGCGGAAGGCTTGGATGTTCGCTTCGTGATCCCTCCCTTGGGCCTTTTTGGAGGCCGTCTTGGGGCCCTCTTGAGCTGGCTTGCGCGCCTCTTGGGCCGTCTTGAGGCGCTCTTAGGCCGTCTTGGGGCCCTCTTGGAGGCCTCTTGGGCCGTCTTGAGGTGTCCTGGGGGCCCTTTACGCCGTCATGGAGCGTCGGAAAGCCGAACAAGCGAGAACGCCACAAACCTTCAAAAACTTCCGGACAAAACAATGATGTTTGCCTCTTGGGGCCCTATTGGGAGGCCTCTTGGAGGACCCCTTGGGGCATCTTGAGGCCGTCTAGGAACGATATTGCGGCGACTTGGGGCTCTATTTGACCATTTTGGGGGCCTTCTGGAGCCATCTGAGCTTGTGTTGGGCCCCCCTTGCCAGGGTAGGCCGACAAGAGCGACCCTGGCGGATCCCAGGCTGGCCCGGGCCGGCCTTGGTCCGGACCCTTCAAGGCTTACAGCTCTGATTGCAGCAGAAGAACAGCCCTCTCGATGCTGCATGAGCCTTGGGGCACACTTCGTGCCAGAGGCGGACGTGTCCATTGTTTCTCGGCGAGGACCATCGAGGAGCATGTTGGGCCATTTGGCGAAACATACGCGCGACACCGAAACATGCACGGGGAATGGTCGTCCGAGCGATGGCGAGGTGTGGTCGGCATGTGACTGTCTTGGCACCGGGCCAGTGGTGAATGACCATGGTCCCAGCCGCGCCAGCCGAGGAGAACGCCGGCGCGCCGCTCAACGGCGGGGCCGCCTGGTCGCGCCTCGTGGAGGAGGCCTGCCAAGGACCGCTGCCGGGGACCGCGGGCCCCACAGGGAAGGTCGGAGGGGCGGGAGGAGGCTCAGGGGCCGAAGACGTACTGGCTCTGTCGAGCTTCCCGCTCGATGCTCGTTCTGGGGATGTTCCTGAGACCCACCTACGGGACTCCAGTTCGACTCCAGTTCGACTCCGGCTCGACTCGGGTTCGACTCAGGTTCGAAGCAGGGTCGACTCGAGTGGACGGACGTTCGACGCAGCTTCGACGCACGAGTGGAGCGAGAGGCTCCAATAAGGTCCCCAGAATGGGCATCTAGTCCCTGAGGCCCCTGGGAGCCTCGTGGGAGCTTTGGGGACAACACGACGGCCAGTTTCTCTTGGCCCAGACCCCCCTTGGCCCCATCTCAGGCCCTGAGGGCGATCAAGAGCGCAGCGACGGAACAGCAGTCCCGGGGTTAGGGTCGAGGGCTCTGGGGAAGAAAGAGGAGGAGACGCATGAGGAGGAGGAGGAGGAGGAGGAGGAGGAGGAGGAGGAGGGCGGAAGGCTTGGACGAGGCGGAGGAGCGCAGGAAGAGGACGGCGGAGGGGATGGAGCGGGGTGGAGGAGCGCAGGATGAAGAGGAAAGGAGGAGGAGGAGGAGGAGGAGGAGGTCGGAGCGGGGCCGAGGACTGGTGGCCATCCAAAGCCATCTTGGAGGCCATGTTGGGCTCTCTGAGTTCAGTTTGCAACCATGCTGGCCCAAATGCCTCCCAAGGATGCCCCCAAGATACCAACAGTTGTTTTTTGCTCACAATATCTTTTCAACGATGGTTGCTTTGAGCGAACCAGGGTCCCCGATTACACCTGCACCTCTTTATCCCCAAAAGTTGCCTCGTGGGGCTCACTCGGGGCTGCTTAGAGCTATGTTGGGCTTATCCAGGGGTCCTCTTAGGCCATCTTGGAGCCACCTTGAGGCCCCAAGAGCTCATGGGGAGCGAGAAGGCGGGAAGGCAAAACACACTGGTCGTCCTTGCGTGTTGGAAGGATTTGGACTTTGGGGGGTGATGACCCATGGGAGGCTCCGTTGCCACTTGCGTCCGTCGCGGTCTGGGGGCCTGGCCTCTTGCAGGATGTTGGAGACCATCGTGGCCGATCTTGCGCTATCCTGAGCTATTTGGGAGGCCATCTTGAGTTTTCCTGGAGCCATTCTGGGCCATCTTGGGCGCTCTGACACCTCGCGGGGCGCACCATCCAGACCCAGGGGTAGGGGTCATGGGGGAGAGGTCAAGACACCCCCTAGATAGCAAGTCGTCTAGCTCACTCCCACCCGCCCTCCCAACACAGAAGTAATACCCAAGCTTGAGCATGTTCAGCGGTAGTCTTTGGATGGACAGCTACGGGGAACCAAAACCGACCCCATGTGCGCGACGTTTGGGCGAGATGCGCCACGCGTGTCAGGCGCGCCACGCGCGCCAGGCACCCCTGGGGCCCGGGCGTGCCAGGCACGCTTGGTGCGCCAGATGCGCCACGTGCTCCGCGTGCGCCAGGTGTGCCGCGTACTCCAGCCGCGCCAGGTGCGGCACGTTCGGGGCACGTGCAGAGTGTATGAGGTGCGCCTGCACACGTGACAGCACACATCGGGAAGCATGTCGGCCTCCACCATCCTATGCCCATCATTGTGTCTGGTGGGCCTGCGCACATCAGGCCATATGCCACCACCCCCGCCGTCCCTGTCAAACACCACTTGACAGTGATCGCGGGGTGGCCGCGCACTATCCAGATTTAGTCTCGAGGTGCATGTTGTATGTTTCCTGTTGCCAGGGATGGTAGCCCTGCACACAGCAGGCAACATGCTGACACCCCCGCCGCCCCTTATCAAATATTTCCCTGCGACGTACCCAACCCTTGTTTATACACGTGGCGTTTATATTCAGGACCACTCAAAACTGACTGGCATTCTGAAGGACCCGCAGTGCGCAAGAAGAGCACTCAGGAGTGCGATCAGAAGAGAGCATCAAGAAGAGGAACAGCACACATAAAACATGAAAACACAAGGGCGTTGAAATAAACACAAAAGCGTGGGGCGGCGAGGGCTAAACCAGAACATCGGTTTAACGTAGCAACGCGCTGCGCTGAACGAGGCAACTGCATGAGGTGCATAACGGGGGCGGAGACTCACCCAAAAGTGGAGACAACAGGGCGCGGCAGCGAACCCAGAACAGAGTCCAAAAGTGGAAGCAACAGGTCGCGACCTCGAGGATAAGCAGGAACACCCAGTCACCGCGTGGGAGTTACCTTCGTTGGGCCTCCCAGGAGCCCGCGAAAGTGGCGACAGTTGCGCAGATCGCAAGCCCCCCAGGGGGCGGCGAGGTACCGAGGTGATCCGCGTGGGACGTACCTCCGCTGGGCCTCCCAGGAGCCCGCGAAAGTGGCGACAGTTGCGCAGATCGCAAGCCCCCCAGGGGGCGGCGAGGTACCGAGGTGATCCGCCTCGGACGCACCTCCGCTGGGCCTCCCAGGAGCCTACGAAAGTGGCGACAGTAGCGCAGATCGCAAGCCCCCCAGGGGGGCGGCGAGGTCCCGAGGTGATCCGCGTGGGACGTACCTCCGCTGGGCCTCCCATGAGCCTACGAAAGTGGCGACCGTTGCGCAGATCGCAAGCCCCCCAGGTGGGCGGCGAGGTACCGAGGTGATCCGCGTGGGACGTACCTCCGCTGGGCCTCCCAGGAGCCCACGAAAGTGGCGACAGTTGCGCAGATCGCAAGCCCCCTATGGGGGCGGCGAGGTACCGAGGTGATCCGCGTGGGACGTACCCCCGCTGGGCCTCCCAGGAGCCCACGAAAGTGGCGACGGTTGCGCAGATCGCAAGCCCCCCAGGGGGCGGCGAGGTACCGAGGTGATCCGCGTGGGACGTACCTCCGCTGGGCCTCCCAGGAGCCCACGAAAGTGGCGACCGTTGCGCAGATCGCAAGCCCCCCAGGGGGCGGCGAGGTACTGAGGTGATCCGCGTGGGACGTACCCCCGCTGGGCCTCCCAGGAGCCCACGAACGTGGCGACAGCTGCGCAGGTCGCAAACGCCCCAGGGGGGCGGCGAGGTACCGAGGTGATCCGCGTGGGACGTACCCCCGCTGGGCCTCCCAGGAGCCCACGAAAGTGGCGACGGTTGCGCAGATCGCAAGCTCCCCAGGGGGCGGCGAGGTACCGAGGTGATCGGCGTGGGGCGCACCTCCGCTGGGCCTCCCAGGAGCCCACGAAAGTGGGGACGGTTGCGCAAATCGCAAGCCCCCCAGGGGGCGGCGAGGTCCCGAGGTGGTCCGCGTATGACGTACCTCCGCTGGGCCTCCCAGGAGCCCACGAACGTGGCGACAGCTGCGCAGATCGCAAGCCCCCCAGGGGGCGGCGAGGTACCGAGGTGATCCGCGTGGGACGCACCTCCGTTGGTTCTCCCAGGAGCCCATGAAAGTTGCGACATTTGCGCAGATCGCAGCCCGACGGCACGCGAGAAGAGGAGAGGGGAACACAGGAAACAGAAGAGAAGGAGGAGGGGAGGAGTGGGGAGGAGGAGGAAGGACGGGGCGACCACACTGCTCTATTCAGAACGAGAACCCAATACAGTAGGGGTGGGAGCAATACAAAGTGCTCGTGGGCCTCACCAACATGACTCAAGATTTTGCCCCAAAGTGTACCTGGTATTGACTGTTGACAGGAATGGTGGGGGGGGACGCATCGGGTTGGCCGCGCATGCTCCAAATGTGTTCCTGGTTGACCGCCGGTCGCCTGGAGGAGGGGCTGTATATTACTTGAGAGCAATAATCAAAACACCTCCTGCCCACAAGGCACAAGCCGTCCCGCTCACTCCCACCCGCACTCCCAACACATGAAGTAGCACCCGGTGGTCCCTGTCAAGGACATGTAAAGTGGTCGCGGGTTGCCCGCGCATGCTCCAGATTTGGAGGTAACGTGCATGTTGCGTTGTATTTTGTCAGGGATGGTTGCCCTGCGCGCAGAAAGCAATACGAGGGCACCCCCGCCGTCCCTGGCAAACATCAATGCAAAGTGGTCGCGGACACCGTGCTGCCAGCTCCACCTTGGAGTTTTTGGTACCCTGTGGCATGGACGCACAGCCTGTCAGGAGAGCTGGCCGAGCTGGACCTTGCCAGTCCAGATCGCGAAGTTCCTTCCTCTCGGCCGCAGCGTCACCATCGCGACGCTGGTGGAGAGGTTCCTGCTCCCCGAGCCGCTCCACGCCTGGAGCCTGCTCGTCCGTCAGCGCGCCCCCTGAACCGCCTCTGTCAGGCGACGGACCCTGCCTTGGCCTGGGGGCGGGGAGCCGTGAGAATGGTCGACAGGCCTCCGAGGCCGCTGAGGCGACTGACGGACTCCAGGGCTGTGACGTCGAGGGCCTCACGGGCAGCCAAGATATGGAGACGGTAAACGGTCACAGGATTTGCAAGCGCAGCTCGGTGGGACTTGCTTGCGTGCCGCTGGGGTCCTCCTGCATTCCCGCATGCGCAAGGTCATGAGCATCAGGGCGGTTTGAATCCGAAGGCCAGCGAGCCGCTGAAACACCTCGTCGCACTCCGACAGCGAGGCGTGCTTCTCAGCGGAGATGTCCGTGAGTGGCAGGACCTCTCGGCCAGTTTGGCGATGGCGCGTGCTGGCTGCATCTTTTCGCGGCCATGCGGCCGCCCAGCATGGGCGCCCTGCCTGCACGGGAGCTGTGAAGCTCAACGCGGCTGCCGCTTTGGGTTGTCGCACTGGGGCTCACTCGAGCGGTCCGTGCTTGCAGCGAGCAGCGCGCAGGCCATTGAAAAAACATCGCAGGGCGTGGCCGGGTCCACATGCGGCCCCCTGCCCATAGCGTGTCAATGTCGGCACGCCCCTCACGCGCCCCGTGGCCCCCCTTGCCCGGTGCGTGTCCATCACGCGCTTCGTGGCCCCATCGGGGACTCCATTCAAAGCCCCAGTGGCAGGGTCCAGGGCCCACCGATTGTCCATTTCAGCGCACCACTCACGCGTCGTGGCCCCATTTGAGGCCCCACACAAAGCCCCAGTGGCAGGGTCCAGTCCAGATGCAATTCCCCACCACCGATGGTCAATTTCAGCACATCACCACACGCTTCGTGGCCCCACAGGGAGCTCCGCACAAGGCCCCAACGGCAGGGTCCACATGCGGTTCCGTGCCCGCCGCGTGTCCGCATCAGCACATCTTTCAGCAATTTCGTGGCCCCACAGAAAGCTCCACCCAATGCCCCCTGGCTGCGTCCATATGCGGCTCCCCGCTCACCGCATGTCTATGTCGGCACAGTCTTTCACGCATTTCGTGGCCCCAGAGGGAGCTCTACAGAAGGCCCCCGCGGCAGGGTCCACCTGCGGCTCCCCGCTCACCATGTTCTTTCTTTGACACAAGCACACACCCATTTTGCGTCGGCGGCTAGGCAGAGGGACTGCTCTGGCGAAATGGGGATTCGACACTCGCATACACACACACACTCACACACACACACACACACACACACACACACACTTCGCAAACTTCGCGGCTGCATCGTGGCCCGCCCGAGCCTCGCCTTCGGTCGACTGTCCACTTGTTTGGCCTCGCGCCGCGGACGACGTCTCGGTGGAGTCCTCTGGGGCGACCAGCGCGCGTCGCGGGGAATCCCCTAGGGTCTGCCTTCAGGAGAAAATCCCTGACAGCCGCCCTTTTCTGTTTTGTCCCGTGCCGCGGACGACCCGCGCGCGTCGGTGGGGCGCCTTCCGGGCGACTGGCGCGCCTCGCGCGGGCTCCGCGCAGCGCTTTGCCCAGGGTTGTGCCAGGGCGGAAGGACAAAGGAGCGGAGCCACACGAGAAGGATGCAACACGGCGGCGCCCGGGGCTCGGGCCACCGCGGGCCAGGAGCGGCAACGCACGACGGAAGCAAAAAGAGGGGAGGAATGGTGGGCGAGGAAATCGGAACGAAACGGCGGCGCCTGGGGCTCGCGCGAAGCCGCGACGACTCGCCGCTCGTCGGAAGTCCCACCCAAGCCAAAGCCACAACGGTTGCTTCCGCAGGGCACCACCGCACCCATGTCTTCTCACCCTTTGCACGTTTCGTGGCCCCGTGTGGAATTCCACCGAAGACCCTTCTGTTTGCATAGCACCACCGCACTCATGTTTGCACACCCTTCACACGCTCCGTGGCCCCATCAGGAGCTCCACCGAAGGCCCCAGTGGTTGCGTTCGCATGGCGCCGCCGCACTCTCATGGGCACACCTGTCACACGTTTCGTGGCCCCCGAAGGCCCCTGTGGTTGCTCTCGCACGACTCCACCTCACCCTTGCCAGCGCACCCCTGACACGTTCCGAGGCCCCGTACAGCGTTCCACCCAAGGCCGTAGTGGCTGCGTTCGCATGGCGCCACCGCACCCATGTCGGCACGCCTCTCACATGTTTCGTGGCCCCATAGGGGGCTCCGCCGAAGGCCCCAGTGGCTGCGCTCGTCCGGCACGCCCCTCACGCGTTTTGTTGCTTCAAAGGGAGCTTCACCGAGGGCCCCAGCGGCGGCGTCCGCATGGCGCCATTGAGTTGTTCTTCGGCATACCCCTCACATGCTTCGTGGCCCCATAACGTTTTCCACCGAAGACCCCAGCGGTCGCGTTTGCATGGCGCCGCCGCACCCGCTTCGGCACACACCTGACACGTTTCGTTGCCCAATTCGGAGTTCAACCAGAAGCTGGAACCACAACGGGGTAATTATTCGCGTATGGTTCGTTATCCGCCGAGAGGTTTTGTAACAAGGGATGGTGGGTGGGGTGTTTGGTAACAAGGAACAGTGATCAGGTTACCCCCCCCCCCCCGAAGGACGGCCGTTTTGTTCACCCCCATCCGCCGCCCCACCACATCATCAACACCCGTGGGTCAGCATAGGCAGGGGCCGCCATTGGCAACCATCGGGAACCAACGCGCCCGCCAGCCAGTTGCGCGACGCACGCCCACGAAGCCGCGCGAGCCAAGGGACCCCCTCAACCCTGCCAAAAAACAATACAAAATAATCGCGGGGCGCCCGCGCATGGTCAAAGATGGTGCCGCAACGTGCACTTTGCATGGGGTTTCTGTACGTAGGTATGGTGGGCCTGCACACGCCTGACATTATCATGGCGCCCCCATGACTCCTGCCTAAGAACAATCGTGTAAGGTGATCGCGGTGCGCACGAAATTGATCCAGGTTTTGCCCCACTGCCCACATGGTATTAGTTTTGACAAGGAGGGGTGCGCATTGTTCCTGAACAAGGGGGTTGGAATAGGAATCGCGCTGGACCGCTTAGGCCTTGAGGGCCGATGGGGTTCGCAAGGGAGAGGAGAATTAGCTACCAGTCATCGCGCACCGATTCATTCACTTTCCATTGCCCCTCGTGGGACCCCCCTGCCGCCACAACATGCCGAAACTCGAAGCAATGCTCCCTTTCTCGCCCTCCCCAGATCTCCGACGACTCTACATTTTCGAGTCGCTAGCCCCACCTCTTCCCCAGGGCAAGCTTTTGATCCTGACCCGTTTTTGAACGTCCTGGGGTCCCAAATGGTATGTCATCACAAGGGGCCCAAGTTTGGGGAAAAACGGCAGCCTCGACTGGTCTGTGGCGGAGGACGCCTGGTCCTCCTCAGCGGGCCGACTCTCCGTGGACTCTGGCTGGGAGCCGCTCGCGGCCAGTCTCGCCTCCGAAGCGCCAGCGCGCGCTTCGAGCGAAAACGCCCAGGCCTGCAGCCTTTTTGGGGGCTCGAGGCCGGGCGGGCTCCGCGGCGGCGGCGGCCGTGCGCGAGCGGCACGGGGGCGCCGCCGCCGCCGCGGGCGCCGCACGCCCCGCGCAGCGCCCACGGCCGGCGGCGGAGATGGAGGTGCGACGGACGACCGGGCCGCCGACGGCACTCGGGCCATCGGCAGCTCCGGGGCCCGGGGCGCCCTGCGGGGGCGCGGCCCCCGCGCCCCCTGCTGCCGCTGCCTCTGCGGGGGCGGGCGCAAGGGCGGGGGAGGTTGGCCGTCGATCCGTCAGGGCGCCGAGAGGGGGAGTCTTCGAGTCCGAGGGCACCTGCGGGAGCCTCCGGGGCCCTCCGGGCGCTTCCAGAGGCCCCCCCCGGGAGATCTCCCGGGGGGGGGGGGCTTCGGAGGCTTCTCTTGGAGGGGTGGCACGGGGGGCTTGCCCAGGGGGAACGTGCGGTCTCGCCACAGAGGGCCTACCGCTGGCTTCAGCATCGGCGGTGTATCCTTGACTCCAGGTCGACGTGCCCCTCCCACTGAGCCAACCCCCATCCCTTTTGGCCCCCCTCTTCTCCCCGCCGCAGCCTGACCGGGTGACGCGGACCTCGCCGCCGCGGCTCGACCACGCCCCAGACCTCTGGCGTCGTGATCTTGGTCAGCGCGCAGGCCCCCCTCCCTCCACAACCTTTCCCAGTGGGCCACATTCTTCGTCCTGGTGGTCCCAGGGCCCGAACGCAGGCGCCGAGAGCGAGCCAGCGAGCGACGCCGAGCGAGCAGGCGCCGAGAGTAGCGAGCAATTCCCGTCTAGATGTTTTTTGTCAAGGCTTCGGATGTCTGGGCTCGCGGGTCAAACGCCGATTCCTCGATCCGTCTGAGGATGTGATTTGGCCAGACTTGCGGTGTGGATCCAGCCGTGGCCACGAGGGAGCCCCAGGAGGCTCAGAAATGTCTACGATGTCGATCCGCGAACCTCGATCCTCGACGTTGGAGGTCTGGGGTACCGCGGACCGTACCGCCGCGGCCCGACCTGGCGCCGCGACTGAGGGGGATGCTGTGTGACTCCGCGGCGATGCAGGGAAGGCGCCCGAAGCAGGAAGACAGGCGCCGGGGTGGAGAAGCAGCGAAAAGCTGGTGTACAGGCACAGTCGAAGATAGGTGGGCCTCGCGCCTTCTGAGAAGTCTCCTCCTCCTCCCCCTCCTCCTCCTGCCCCTCCCTCTCCTCCTCCGCCTCCTCCTCCGCCTCCGCCTCCTCCTCCTCCTCCTCCTCCTCCTCCTCCTCCTCCTCCCCCCCGTAGCCACATTGGCTCAAGGATCTTGGGGCTCGAACAATTCTGCCTGTTCGCATCCACCCCACAGAGTTTTTTGGTCACTTCCCACCAGCCAGCCATGCCTGCCACCTCTGCGAAGGAGTACCTCTCCATCGTGATCTGCGGGCATGTTGACACTGGCAAGAGCACCACCACCGACCGCCTCCACTATGACCTGGGTTGCCTTCCGGAATTCGAACTGGAGCAGTTGAAGAAGGAGGCCGAACGCCTGGCAAAAGGCTCCATCGCTTTCGCGTTCTATATGGACCGTCAGAAGAAGGAGCAGGAGTGCGGTGTGACCAGCGCCTGCACCACCCAAGACTTCTACACAGAGAAGAGGCACTACACCGTCGTCATCGATGCCCCAGTCCATCGCGATCTCAACAAGGCCGACTACCTTCTGAAGAAGTCTGACAGCACGGGCTGGTGGAAGGGCTGCGATGTCAAGTACGGCAAGGACTGCGACACCGACAGATACAAGCAGTCCCGCTATGCCGAAGTAGCGAAAGAGTCGAAGATGATGCTGTTCAAGCACGGGTGGAACAAGGACTTCGTCAAGAAGGGCACGCCTGTAATGCCAAGCTACGGCTGGATGGGCGATAACCTGCTAAAGAAGTCCGACAACATGGGCTGGAGGAAGGACTGCGTTGACAAGTACGAGAAGGCCCCATCCACGTGGACTCCGTCTTCGATGTCCTGGTTGTGATGGGCCGCGTTTTGCCTTGCTCATGACTTGCCGATAGCGGCAAGCCCCGCGCTGATTTACAATTCAGGGCTCGCTCAAGCCCTCATCGCTGCCAAGATGTGTTGATCAGATATGTGGCAGGTCGAGAGCCTTACAAAGTGCGGGGTGCTTCCCTGCAGTAGGTACAATGGTCTGTGATAAAGGGCCCCCTGGAGGGTCGGTGGTTCCCTGAGAGGACTAATAGCATTGCTGTTGGTCTCAGTGGAGGGGCCCGCGGGATTAGTCTTCCCCGCTCTCCTTTCACTCAGTTCTAATTGAATGCGAAGTGTATGTGATTTGTCGTTCGAGTAGTGTTCCCTCGAATTCGAAGTGAATGTGTTGACAAAGGCAGGTCGACAGCCTCACTCAAGTGAGGTGCTTCCTTGCGGCATCAAGCATGGCAGCTCTCTCAAATCCAGGCAGTGGCACGACGACTGAGCAACGTTGTGTCCTTATGGCCAACCCCACTGGGGGTACAGCGTCGGCAGCGTCCTGCCGTCTCAGCGGCCAGATGTTGTTGAGAACATAAGTGGCCCAGTGCCACGAGGTTTTGGATTAGGGTCGGGTCGGCCAACCCTTAGCCTCCCTCATCAGCCATGTGATGGTCCTCCTCCTCCTCCTTCTCCTCCTCCTCTTCCTCCTCCTCCTCCTCCTCCTCCTCCTCCTCCTCCTCCTCCTCCTCCTAGTCGGCGTTGGAGCTCACCAGGGGAGGAGAAGGGGAACAACAAACATAACAATAGTTGCAACCCTTCCGATACCGTACCTCTGTGCGATTTTTCCAAGAGTTGTTGGGCCGATAACCAGCGATGCCTGTTTCATGTGCCGCCTCTTTCAAATGTTTGGAAGGTTGGAGAGAGATCTGGAAAAAGGTATCCCGGCAAAACAACCTACCAGCGATGTGTATAGGCATATCTGGAAGCAGTCCCCTTGAGATTCAGGTGAGAACCCAGTTGTATAATTCTGCTGTTCTCGCAGTCGCAGTCGAATTCGCAATGACAGTCGCAGTGGCAACGGCCTTAGGATCCAATGGAATCCTAAGGATTCCTCGGGATTCCTAAGGCATCCTTACTTAGGAATCCTTAGGAATCCTTAGCCTCAGTCTCATCAGCCTGAGCCTCAGCCTGCCTCAGCCTTGACCTCAGCCTGCCTCCGCCTCAGCCTGGTCGTGTCTCAGCCTCAGCCTCAGCCTGGGACTGGTGCTCTGGGAACACGAAGACCACGAAGTGGCCCACAATTGGCTCCGGGCAATCAAAGTATGGTACAGGAATGGTGTTCCGCGAACACGAAGAACACAAAGTGACCTACAGTTGGCTCTGGGCATTCAAAATGCAGCCTGGGAGTGGTGTTCTGGGAAGACGAAGAACACGAAGTGGCCTACAGCTGGCTCAGGGCATTGAAAATGTGGCCTGGGAATGGTGTTCTAGGAAGACGAAGAACACGAAGTGGCCTACAGTTGGCTCCAGGCTTGCAAAATGTGGCCTGGGAATGGTGTTCTGGGAACACGAAGAACACGAAGTGGCTTACAGTTGGCTCCGGGCATTCAAAATGTGGCCTGGGAGTGGTGTTCTGGGAATGGATCCCTAAGGATTCTTTGGGATCTAAGGATTCCTGGGGCTGCCGGATCTGTCCGGATTTGTCCGGAGCCCGCCCAGACCCCCCCCAGACCCCCCCTGTTCGGGAGACTCTCCATGGGATCCCCAGGGGATTCTGTGGGATCCCCCCCCCTGGGATCCTATCCCCCCATGGGATCCCCCCCCATGAAGAGTCTCCCGACCTGTGGCGGCTGCCGGATCTGTCCGGATCTGTCCGGATACCGCCCAGACCCCTTTGGGGCGTCAAGATGCTTGCTCTCTTTTGACACCATTAGAAACCTATCAGCAAAAGCCATTAGGTAATTATCCCGGCAAAGCAACCTAACAGCGATGTGTAGAAGCATATCTGGAAGCATTCCCCTTACGATCCAGATGAGAATCCAGTTTTAGAATTCTATTGTTTTCGCAGTCGCAGTCGCATTCGCGATGACAGTCGCAGAGGCAACGGCCTTAGGATCCAATGGAATCCTAATGATTCTTAGGGATTCCGAAGGCATCCTTAGGAATCCATAGGAATCCTTAGGAAACCTTAGGAATCCTTAGGAGTCCTGATTCCTTTGGATTCGTAGGGGTTCCTAATGATTCCGAGGGGGTCCTAAGGATTCCGAAGGATTCGCCTGCCTCAGCCTTAGCCTCAGCCTCAGCCTGCCTCAGCCTCAGCCTCAGCCTGTCTCAGCCTCAGCCTGCCTCAGCATCAGCTTCAGCCTCAGCCTCAGCCTGCCTCGGCTTGCCTCAGCCTTAGCCTGCTTCGGCGTCAGCCTCAGCCTCAGCCTGCCTCAGCCTCTGCCTCAGCCTGCCTTTGCCTCAGCCTGCATCAGCCTCAGCCTCAGCCTGCCTCAGCCGCAGCTTGCCGCAGCCTCAGCTTCAGCCTCAGCCTCAGCCTCAGCCTGCCTCAGCTTCAGCCTCAGCCTCAGTGTGCCTCGGCTTGCCTCAGCCTCAGCCTCAGCCTGCCTCGGCCTCAGCCTCAGCTTCAGCCAGCGGCAGCCTCAGCGTCAGCCTCTCAGCCTCAGCCTGCATCAGCCTCAGCTTAGCCTCAACCTGCCTCAGCCTCGGCCTGAGCCTCAGCCTGCCTCACCCTCAGCCGGCATCAGCCTCAGCTGCAGCCTGCCTCAGCCGCAGCTTGCCTCAGCTTCAGCCAGTGTCTCAGCCTCAGCCTCAGCCTGCCTCAGCTTCAGCCTCAGCCTCAGCCGGCCTCGGCTTGCCTCAGCCTCAGCCTCAGCCTGCCTCGGCCTCAGCCTCAGCCTCAGCCTCAGTGTGCCTCGGCTTGCCTCAGCCTCAGCCTCAGCCTGCCTCGGCCTCAGCCTCAGCTTCAGCCTGCCTCAACGTCAGCCTCTCAGCCTCAGCCTGCATCAGCCTCAGCCTCAGCCTTCCTCAGCCTCAGCCTCAGCCTGCCTCAGCCTCAGCCTGCATCAGCCTCAACTTCAGCCTGCGTCGGCCTCAGCCTGCGTCAGCCTCAGCCACTGCCTCAGCCTCAGCTTCAGACTGCCTCAGCCTCAGCCTTAAGCCTGCCTCCTCGTGCCTCAGCCTCAGTGTGCCTCGGCCTCAGCCTGCCGCAGCCTCAGCCTGCCTCAGCTCGGGCATTCAAAATATGGCACAGGACTTGCGTTCTGAGACACGAAGACCACGAAGTGGCCCACAGTTGGCTCCGGGCAATCAGAATATAGTACAGGAGTGGTGTTCCGGGAACTCGAAGAACACGACGTGACCTAGAGTTGGCTCCGGGCATTCAAAATGTAGCCTGGGAATGGTGTTCTGGGAAGACGAAGAACACGAAGTGGCCTACAGTTGGCTCCGGGCATTCAAAATGTAGCCTGGGAGTGGTGTTCTGGGAACACGAAGAACACGAAGTGGCCTACAGTTGGCTCCGGGCATTCAAAATGTGGCCTGGGAGTGGTGTTCTGGGAATGGATCCCTAAGGATTCCTAAACATTTTCACGGTTTCCTAAGGATTCCCGGGGCTGCCGGATTTGTCCGGGTCTGTTCGGATCCCGCCCAGACTTCTTTGGGGCGTCAAGATGCTCTCTTTCGACCCCACTATACACCTATCAGCAAAAATTGCTAGGTAAAAGCAACGAACCTACGACGCAGAGAACGGACCCGCCGCACCCACGCGCGGACACGCCAGCTTTGCAGGATTGCAATGTGTGAACAAATGGTTGCTGAAGTCCAGGGAACGGACATCGAGGCGAACTGCAGCAATGCACACGAAAAGAGAGGGCACGCGGCAGCGGGGGAGTTTATATTTGTTGCTAGGCCCCCCCTCTCCCCCTGCGTCCTGCGGGGCCCAGGGGGGAGAGCTGCCGGGGGATTTTGCAGAGCCGCCTCGGCTGCCCTCAGCGCTTGCGCCCGCGCGGGCCCAGGAGCAGCCCGTTTCAAATGCTAGCAGATATTCCATATTGGAATCGCTCTCACAGGAGATCGAAGATCAGTTCCGCCAGTGGAATCCGATTGGCCCTGTTTCGCGTTCGTTCGTTCGCC